CTGCTGGAAATTCAACTAAATGAAAGAATTAATTGACAAATATATAACTGCTAAGTTAATGCAGTAATCACCATAAATAAAATACATATATATATATATATGTATATATATATATAACATAATTAAATATCATTGTTTCAAAGCATATTAAAATGATCAAAGCAGTATGATATAATAAAATTATACCAAAGAATAAACCGTAAATTTGAAGTTTTGATCTGAATATATTCACTTAAAAGAAAACTCTTAAATATAACTCCACAATTAAATACAAATAATGGAACTTGAAATGTACTCCTCTTTTGCAAATGTGTATTTCAGTATCTGTGCAAATGAGGTTTTGTATGCAATACTAAAATAATGACAGTGAAACCTGAGAGCCAGAACTCAAAGGGACAGACCTGTTTTTCTGGTTTCCTGCCTTTGATTAGATGCAGTCTTACCACTTTTCTATTACATCTTTTTTTAAAAAAACAAAACAAAACTATGAGTTGGGTAGAAGTTTAGAAAGCAAATTGGTTTTCCATTCGATAATCCACACACATTGTTTTGTGACATTTATTGCAATCTCCACTCTGTCACAGCATTCTTTGCACTTCCTCCCTGTGCCTACTCCTTCCTTTTATTCTTCCTTCCCATCCCCTCCCACCTCCCAGCTCTATCCCTGGGCAAATACTGTCCACTTGATCTCATATGCTTGATTGCTGTAATGAGTACATCCCTCCTGATATTACCGTTCACCTTATAGGCCTGTCATCATTTGGCTGACAGTTGAGTCACAGGGGTTGAGTTCAGTTCCTAGCTGGAAGGGTGTCTAAGAGCCAGTCTCAGGGGTTCTACCAGTCTTCATTAGACCAATAAGTCTGGTCTATTTTTTTATGATTTTGGGTTTTATTCCACACCTTCCCCCCACTCTATCTGGGACCTCCTATGTGATTCGTTTCAGGGTGGTCAGCAGTAGTAGCTGCGCACCATCTAATTCCTCTGGTCTCAGGATTGTAGAAGCTGGGGTTCACGTGCTCCATTATTCCTTCGGCCTAATTGTTTCCTGCATCTTTGATTTTCTTCAATCTTCTTTGCTCTGGACGGGGATGGACCCATAGTTGCATCTTAGATGGCCAGTCACAAGCTTTTAAGACCCCAGTCGCCACTCACCAAAGTAGGACGTAGAATACGTCTTTGTGGACTTTGTTATGCCAATTCACTTCAGTGTCTCTTGAGACTACAGTCCTAAGCCTCCATACCCAGTGGCTCATTCCCTTAAGGTATTCAGTTATGACTGTTTTCCTAACTTTGTCCCCTGTATGCTCTACTACATAGATATATTTGCAGCACATATGTCAAGATGGCCTCTGTCAAACCTATATATATATATTCATGGGTGAATTTGCTTTCCCACTCTTGTTCAGATTATCTATCTATATATCCACTCATAAATTATTATTACTACTATTGCAGGATTGTGTATGTAATAGTATTCACCTCTGTTGCCTTTAATTTTTGTGCTTTTCCATCTTCCACTGCCTTGATTATGTTGTGCTGACCTCTCCCTTATTGAATACTGGCTTTCCCTTCACCCAAGTTAATATGTGTTTACCCTCTAGGTAGTGATTTTCCCTCCCTTCTCCTCTATCACTTCTCTTAGTGGAAAATACGCGTTTTCCTTCTCTGACAGGTTTCCACCTTACACAGATTCTGGCTTTCACAGGTGTATTGTATTTTATATGGTACACACTTAGATATTAGGTTTTTTTCCTTAAGTTTTATAGTAAACTACCAATTTATAGATCATGCTTTTTTCCTAAACTAACTGTTGACTGGTTTCTTTCTATAAACACTAAAGTGAGTTATCTAGTACTAGCCTTGGCCATTGGCCATCCAGACTTACTTATTTCCTGGCTATGGTGGCGCTTCCCATCATTCCAGCATGTTGACTCAAAATCAATGACAATTAAGTAGTCAAACAACTGTTCTGCAAAAGATCAAGGTATGTTTATGCTTTATCAGCATAGAAGTACAAGGCTCTAAAATGTAAAGAAACTAAGTACACTACTTACTGAATTTGCTTCTTCCTAGATATCCATTTGCCGGTGCAAATGACTTTCTCCTAATTAATCCAAGCTGCCTAAAAAAAAAGTAAACCCAATACGATCAACAAACTAATTCACATTCCTTTTTGAATAAACTACCAAACTAATGGTACTGGACATATGGCAAAGCTTTCATTACTAATGTATTGTAATTGAGGGGATGGATTTTTGTCCTGTCACCCTTTCTTTTGATTTTTTGTAATCACTTTACCCACATAGGCTTCAAAGCACATTATTTGAAAACTTAGGCCAATTCTACCTGCTCCCCTCATGACACAGTAATACCCAGGACCTCAAACAATGCATTGAGAAGCTTAAATTATTTTTGCCTTTGCATTTTCCCAAGCCCTTGCTACGTGTACAGCAGTTATAAGGAGATAATAGTAATACAGGGCATGGTCCGTTCTGTTGTTGTTGTTGTTATGTGCCATCGAGTCGGCCCAGACTCATAGCGACCCCTCCTTGGGTTCCCGAGGCAGTATCACTACGGAAGTAGGATTGCCCAACCTTCCTTCCGAGGAGTGGCTAGTGGGTTTGAACCACCAGCCGTCTGGTTAGCAGGCAAGTGTCTTAGCCACTATGCTACCAGAGCTCCCATGGTCCGTTCTAGGAGCTTAAAAATCTGAAGAAGATATCCACGAAACCATTTCAAGGTAGTAAATGATAAAGGACTGCCAAAGGCAAGACAATTTAAAAGGTCCACAAAAGAGGACATGCTTACTGAGGTGGAGGTGAGTAAAACGACTTTGACTTGTTGTTGTTATGTGCCTGTGGAGTTGGACCCGACTTATAGCGACCCCTCCTTGGGTTTGCGAGGCATTATCACTCGGGAAGTAGACTGCCCCATCTTCCTTACAAGGAGTGGCTGGTGGGTTTGAACCTCCAGCCTTCTGGTTAGCAGTCAAGTGCCTTAGGCACTACGCTACCAGAGCTCCTGACTTTGACTTGGGAGATGCTAAATAGGCAGGTTGCCTTAGGCTGCAGTTTGTAGTTAAGAAGTATGATGGGAAGTGCCAGAAGGGTACAGCAGCTAACATTTATTGATCGCTTACTATTTAATGACTGCAGGCACTAAATCAGGATGGATATCAATTAATAGTCAACGGCTGTAGCAGTACACACTTTCGCTACCTATATTTCAATGGATGAGAATTTTGATATCTAGGTTCAGTAATTCACCAAAAGACAGAGATTTGGTATGTGTACCCAGGACTGCCTAAATCTGAAGTCCATGCTTCAATCCATTCCATATACTACATACATTACACTGCTTCTAATAATCAGAAATAGGAACATGTCCAATAATCAGGAAAAAGCCCACAGTGATTCATATTACGCCTTAAATGTATTACTAGGAAATAGTGAGGTAAACAGCTTGGTGGGTGCGGGGGGCCATGCAGGTGCTTCCCGAGAGCTCCAACGAGGCATAGACTGGCTCAAGGGCACACATCTGAGAACCCAGGTCTCCTAGGCCTCCTCCCGCCTCGTGAACAGGGCCTGAGGCTCCACCGGGGACAAGCAGGGGGATTTCAGTCTCGGCCAAGGAAAGAGGGTCGGAGACGCAGGTACTGCAAGGAGTGGAAGCGGCTGCCAAGGACGCACAGTCCCAGGTCTCCTCGCGGACGTCAGTGCCATACCGGTAGCGCCCACCTCCCCCAAAGCCCTTCGCGTACCGCGCCAACTTCTTGGTTGCCATTCCTATTATCCCTGACTCTCCCAAATCTGGCTGCCGGAAGTTGCTCGAATCTCACTTCCGGTCCGTTCAAACTGCCCGCTCGACTGACGACGCAGTGGCTCTCCCGGAGAGAAGGCGAGAACGCTGCTAAGGCTGCAGCTTCCGCTCTCCGCCAAGCTTCTAATAGGCTTTTCCAGGAGCATGTGGGGAGTGGTTTGGGGAGGGGCAGCATCGTGGCAACTCCCTCACAGGCCGGCGGGGGCGAGTTTGAGCAGTTGGATAGCCGTTTCAAATCTTTGAAGCGGACGGTAAAGCCGTTTGGCTTGCTCAGGCACCGATTTTTCGGCAGTGAAATGGTGGGGATCGTCAGTACCTTGCTTTTCGGGCTGGCAGGCAGCACTCTGTGAACTGTGAAGTTAAGAGAGGTTCTGAGGGAGAATATATAGGCTGTCGAAGTTGGTGACGACCCGGGCAGGGTAATCTGGTCGTCAGGGTTTCCTCGGTCTTAGCTGATCTTTCTCCGCAGCCCTATGGAGCCGGAGACGGAAAGGACCGAGAGGCACCCTAGTAACGGCAGGAAGAGGAGGCGGGCCCCAGTCAGGCTGGTTGGGGCGGCCGAGGCGATGCGAGCCCGTTGGGATCTAGAAGAGAGGCAGCCTGACGCCAAGGTGAGCAACGATTAGTCCGGTGGCTCTGGGATGTTTGAGGTCCCGTTATCTTTGAACGCTTGGTCAGGCAGGCCCAGTTTACCCACACATGTTTATTGAGGTCTTCTGTGTGCCAGGAATTGTTCTAGGTTCTGCGGTTGCTCAATTCACAAAAGTACAAAAGTCACTGCTCTCATGGAGTTTATAGTCCAATGGGAGAATAAGGCTACCATTTGTTGAGGGCCCAGTATTCATTCATTCCTTCAGTCAGTCATCACGGTTTTCTTGTCTGCTACCTGCTGAGCACTTGAATAAAACAAAATCACTGCCTGGTAAGACTTAGGAGGAGCTCTGGTAGCGTAGTGCCTAAGGCATTTGACTGCTAACCAGGTGAGATGGCTGGCGGTTCAAACCCACCAGCCACTCCTTAGAAGGAAGGTTGGACAATCTACTTCCGTAGTGATGTTGTTGTTGTTTGCCGTCGAGTCGGCCCCGACTCATAGCGACCCCTCCTTGGGTTTCTGAGGCAGTATCACTACGGAAGTAGGATTGCCCAACCTTCCTTTCGAGGAGTGGCTGGTGGGTTTGAACCGCCAGCCGTCTGGTTAGCAGACAAGTGTCTTAGCCACTATGCCTGGGGAAACCCAAGGAGGGGTTGCTATGAGTCGGGTCCGACTGGACTGCACATAACAACAAGGTGATTAGTACTATGAAAATTTTTTTGGTTAAAATGGAATTCCATTGTTTTGCCTATCAGATTAGCCCCCAAAATTTAAGGTTAATGTAACAAGTGTATGGAAATTGACAATCTCATCACTTTTTTATTGTGAAACAATCTCAAATTTATGGAAAATTTGCAAGAACACTACACACACACAGGCTGAAAGTAGTTACTGAAACAATGGCCCCTCAAATACTTTAATGTGTATTTCCTACAAACAAGGCTGTGTCCTCCTACATAACCACAATCACAGCCATAAAAATCAGGACTTTAATATTAGAATATTGCTATATTCTTAGACTCCATTCAAATTTCTCCAGTTGTTGCCAGCAATATTTTTCAGCAGTAGGATCCAGTTTACAAGCTTGTGTTACATTTAGTTGTCATGTGTCTTTTCAATCTGAACAGTTCTCAGCCCTTGGCATTAATGAATTTATAGCTTTTTTTTTTTTTTTTTATTCTCCGTGGCATTTTAATTCTGTTTTTTTAAGACCTTAGAGGAACTGCAGTCCTGGAGTCTCACCACAAATAACTTACATATGTGTACAGACAATGAACTTCCTGCTTTAAAAGATTACTGGCCCAATTATTTTGTAGACTGCCCCTTAGGTCTGTCTGTTTTCCCACTAAAAAAAAAAATACCAAACTCACTGCTGTGTAGTCAGATCCAACCCATAGCGACCCCTCCTTGGGTTTCTGAGATGGTACCACTGTGGAAGTAGATTGCCCAACCTTCCTTCTGAGGAGTGGCTGGTGGGTTTGAAACTCTGGCAGGAATATCACAGGAGTAATACTCTCTTCTCTTCATCAGATAGTGCATAACTTTGATTAGTGTCATTATCAGTGATAGTACCTTTGATTATTTGATTAAGGTAGTGTCCGCTGAGCTTCTTTAAAGTTACTCTTTCCCTTTGTAATGAATATTTTGTGGGGAGTGCTGCCTCATTAAACTTTCAGATCATTTATTTTTTGAGTATGCACTCATGGATTCCTATTTTTAAAAATGGGTTATGATCCTTTCCTATATTATTTTAATGCTCAAGATATCTCAGGTCTGATCATTAAGCTGACTTCTGTGTCCTTTTGATGTAACTCCCATTACTCTTTAAACATTTCTTTCTTGCGCAAAAACATGTTTTAGGCTAATCTTGTGCTTTCTGTACCCCTCGCCTGGAGTCAGCCATTTTCCCTAGAATTAAAGAACAAACAGTTGCCATCTTTTCAGTGCCAACTCATAGCAATCCCATGTGTGTCAGAGTAGAACTATGTTCCATAGGGTTCCGATGGCAGGCCTTTGTTCCATTGTGCCTCTGGGTAGACTTGTATCACTAACCTTTTGGTTAGTAGGCAAGCATGTTCAGGAAAAACAGCAGTAATAATTACTGATATTTTTTGAGTACTACAATGTATCAGGAACTAAGTACATTGCACTTGCACTATCTCATTGGTCTTCACAATAATCTCATGAGGTAGAATTATCTATTTCCTTCATAGATGAAGAGATTGAGTCTTCTAGTGGATAAGGCACTTACTCAAGTTGGCAGAGCTTGGTATTTGAAGTCAGGTAGTGTGACTCCGAGGCTCAAGCTCTTAACCACTGTGCTCTGCTGCCTCCCAGACCAAAATGAAAATGGTAATTTTCTCTGAGTTGTCTTATTATAGGTGGCTTCTGTTATCTTTTATGTACCTTTCTCTTTTGTCTGAGTCTTTTATAATATTTTGTGCATCTTACTTTAGTAAGTGGATATATGTGCAAAACTTTTTTAAGGGGTCATGGTCTTCAGTGACTTCCCATTGTACCAGAATACAGTCCGAGTCCTTTGCGTAGACTCCAGTGACCTGTGATTTGGCTCCTACTTCCCTCTGCTCTCTGGTCTCCAGCACTCTGCAACTTACATTCTTAGCTTTAGGCAAAGCAAAGTACTTGTTGGACACTATGTTCCTTCCCTCCAACATGCACACTCATTGTTTTAAAGGCTTAGCTCCCCTCCCCCCGTATTTTCTTCTCATTGAAGCTACCCCTAAAATTCTAAACCCCAAGACACTTAGCCTCATAGTTCTCATAACTTTTAATAACACTTAACATACTGTATTGGAAATACCTGTTTTTGCATTTTCTCCCTGGTCAACTGGACTCTTTGAAAGCAGGAGTCACGTTTTCTTTATCCTACTATCCCCAGCACTTAACTAAGTATCTGTAATTCAGGTTCTATAACATTGTTTATTAAATACTCTTTATCAGTAATGTCATGTTGTTATTGTTGTTATGTGCCGTTGAGTCAGACGCGACTCATAGCGCTCCTCCTTGGGTTTCCAAGGCAGTATCACTACAGAAGTAGATTGCCCCATCTTCCTTCCGAGGAGTGGCTGGTGGGTTTGAACCGCCACTGGTTAGCAGTCAAATGCCCTAGGCATTTTCAATTAATTAGAATCCTCCTAATGTTTGGATATTTGTTAAAATAATGAGGAACTGGAATAATTTAATAATTTGTTTTTCTCTTTTGCTATTCTTAATAGTCATGGTTTGCTATGTCCTGATGTATCTTTGCAGAAAGTTCGCTTAGCTAACATTTTATTTGCTGAAAACTGTGAAGTAACCCACAGCCAGCTATGTGAATTCCTGAAGTATGGAGTGCTGGGCAAATCTCCTGTTCCTCAACCCAGGTATGAGATGAACTTAAGTGGTGAGTATAGACCAGAGATTTCAAACAATACATGGCAAGCCTACTAAATATTTACTTGATCTGTATAGACAGAATAATTCTCGGTCCCATGAACAGCAACCTAGATTGAATACAGAGTCATGACATCTCAATCAATTTCCCAATTTGAGTCAGTTTCATACCCACAACCCCTTGAATGAAGGGGAGGCCAGGTCCCTTTGATGAAGGACCCCACTACATTGCCAAAAATCTATAATGTCAGTCTTTCTCCCAGCCTTCCCCAAAGGGATCTGAGGCCTTTTACGAGAGTGACTATTCATTGGGGAAAAGGAAATAATCAGACTTTTCGGGGATTACTGGACACTGGCTCTGAATTGACACTAATTCCAGGAGACCCAAAGCATCATTGTGGCCCACCAGTCAGAGTGAAGGGATATGGAGGTCAAGTTATTGATGGAGTCTTAGCCAAGGTGCGTCTCACAGTGGGTCCCCAAACCCATCCTATAGTGATTTCCCCAGTACCAGAATGCATAATTGGAATAGATACACTGAGCAATAGGCAGAATTCCCACATTGGGTCCCTGACATGTGGAATAAGGGCTATTATGGTAGAAAAAGCCAAGTGGAAGCCATTGGAACTGCCTCTACCTACAAAAATAGTTAACCAAAAGCAGTACTGCATCCCTGGAGGGGTTGCAGAGATTACTGCCACCATCAAGGACTTGAAAGATGCAGGAGTAGTGATTCCCACCATATTTGGGAATTCACCTATTTGGCCTGTGCAAAAAACAGATGGATCTTGGAAAATGACAGTAGATTATCGTCAACTTAATCAGGTGTTGACTCCAATTGCAGCTGCTGTTTCTGATGTGGTTTCATTGCTTGAGCAAATTAGTACATCTCCTGGTACTTTGTATGCAGCTATTGATCTGGCCAATGACTTTTTCTCGATACCAATTTCAAAGGACCATCAGAAGCAGTTTGCCTTCAGCTGGCAAGGCCAACAGTAAACTTTCAC